GAGCGTTTTCTGCCAGTCGCGGTGGCACGAGGCTTGGCACATTGCCAGTTGCCGGTAGATCTAACATATTCACGACAAGGCCGATATTTCGAGTACTGCCTTTCGGACCAGAATATATCTCGCAATATTGTGTTTGAGTGATATTTTCTGGCCATTGATGGGTCCTATGGTCTGAGTGTTAATCTTTCGGGAGTATTCCAAGAGATGTGCCCGAAAAAACATTCGGTTGGCCCAAAAAGTGCATGGTAGACTACGAAATCGAAAACTTCTGTAAGTATACGACCCACCAGTGGTTCGTATTGTCCGACGTGGCAGAACATGTACGACCCACCGGTGGGTCATATTGTCGTGAATTTGCTAATGGCGCACATCCTTTCCAAGTTGTTGCGAAAATACCGAGTCTTTGCGCGAAGTGCACTTGAAGACAGCGTCCCGGCAAATGTAGTGCTAGGAGTTTGCAACGCTCCAGAGGTAGACCCCCTTCCCATCAAACCTAACTGCGAAGTAACGAGGAGACTCGTCGGAGAATCCTATCCACTTTGAAGGTCTCACGGACCCACCCCCTCGCTCCGGACCTCGCTCATTTACATGCATTTTCCAGCGAATGCGGAAAAAAAGGCTTCGAAAAAAGCTACTTTTCACCGTTTCATGCGCTGTAAAACGCATATATGGGTTCAACGCGCTGAGATGGCTCCGTAAAGATAAGATAAAAGCTGGAGAGCGAATTTGTACCGGAACACTTCAAGAAATTTGTCAACAGTTATAGCAATGCCAAATCACGCAGCGGCTGGACCCAAGCAGGTTATGAGCAGCCTGTTTAGGCAATTTATAATTCGGAGCTCCCAACCAGTGGGTCCAAGCAGATATATTCTAATGAAACTTTCATGTTTTAACGAATTATTGCGTATCCTTTGTCGTAAGAGATCAACAAGTCAATTTTGTTCAGTAACACTCCATATGTCCTCTGATTTTCCAGAAGCCGTATGGATAAAATTCAAGTGCTCACTCGTGAAACACAAGAGCGATGGCTTCAAATCGAATCACTGTGCGGCTTCAATATCCTTTACATGAACGGTAAGTTGGATAAAAGGAAGAATATGCTTTTTCTTTTTCTGTTGTATATTTGATTGTGAGGTGTGGTAAGAGTTCATTTTTCTCAAGGGTACCAAACAGTTTTTCAATATTTGGTTTGGTATCTTGGAAAAAGTAGTTGCTAACATTCCAGAAGCCGTTCCACTCATGCAGCGTTCCACTTCCTCCTCTCACTTCTATGGTGCCAATTCAGGTATGTCAGAATCGTCGGACAATGTGAGCTCGTCTAGTGGCAGCTTCCTTTGATTTCTCAGTCGTTGTGAACGTTGTGTGACTACTGATATTTTCACTCTATTTCCGTCTGTCCTGTCCATCTCTGTGTCTTTTGTCGCTTACTATTTTGTAGCAAAGGCTTAGCAACATTGTTCAAGCATCTTTAACTACCCAAAAATCAAAATTTTTGAGAAAAATCTAGTAATTGATGAGGACGAATTTTTTTTGATCGCCTCAATAGAATCATATGCAGACAGCTATATAGAGCTATTACTTTTTAAGGACTTCGCTTGTGATATCTGGCAGCTTCACTTAGTCTATATCTCAGTTGCTTTTTTTTTCAAAATTCAATTCTTTTCCTGTGTCGAAATGCTTTATTTACTTTGTTATCTGAAT